GTAGTTTCAGGGACATTTTGAATGAGTCGCAATTTAAAATTGGCGAATTTTTGATATCTCGCAAAGTTGGCGATTATTACTCGGGTCAACGTTGCTTTTAGATCATTAAATGGCTATTTAATGATCTAAAAGCAGATCAAACAGGCCATTCAAATATTATGTCACCGGAGCCTATATTAGTGTTATTTGCACAAAAAATAATAATTGTAAAATTGTTAATAAGGTTAGACACCTTTTTAAGTAACTCTGTCTTAAAATGTTGCCCATTTTATGGTTGTTGTTGATCAATACTGTCTTTGACGTTTTTAATCATGATTTTTATGCGAATTTAAGTGATTTTAACGAACAAGATTTTAGAATTGTGGCATTTGCAGATGATTTGCTGCTCTTAATTAGGCACACTAGCTTTTACAAGTTTGATCTTACTGGAACACAGATTTTGGAGAAGTTGATCTCGTGGTCTGCAGATTATGAACTCAAGTTTAGCCATGAAAATATATACATTTATTTAGCTTATTTGGATAGTTCATTGAAAAAATATGCAAATGAAATTTATAAATAATTTGAATCCAGAATATCTTCAAAAGAATCTTTTTGTAGTGCTTATAAATTTCAGATTATGCGTGTGAGATATCGATATCTTATCTTTTCTCATCATACTTTTGAGCGTTTTTAGTATTTCGAACAATTTTATTTTAAGAATTTATCACTCCAACTGTTTTATTATAATATGAAATATAATATGAAATATAATTTGAAAAAAAAATAATTTTACAGAGATGCCAAGTATTCCGGATTCGACAAAATATATTAAAAAACTGTACAAATTAAAACTAGTAGATTTTTAGCTAATTTTACCAACTTTTTTAAACAAGGTAACACAGAAGCGTTTGAATTATTTAGGAGTAGTGGTGAGTAAAAACACTATAAATTGATTTTACTAAATCAAGAAACGTATATTAAAAGAATGCTAATAGAAAATATTTATCTGCCGAACGGAGCAAATTGTCATATCTTTTTTTTAACTTTAAAATAAAATTAATAATATTTCAGCATTAATGCTTTTCGAGTATTCAGAGAAAATCTTAATCGAGTAAAGATTGGAGTTGAATACAATTTCTCAGAAAGTTTTGGAGTTGTCATTTTCAACATTTAACTTTAGACTCCAAAGCGCTGGTTTATCGGATGAAATAATTCAGTTAAAAGTCCAGATGAAGTAATTAAAATAATCCCATTAATTTTTTATTTCTTATTAGCCCTCATTTTCGTATCTAACATTATTCGATATTAATTCCACAAAGCTTAGAAATCTTGTTACAAACCTTTAGCAACATTTTAAACGTAGCGAAATTGCAAAAGCAACAAAGCATTTTATCGTTTTATTAGTACAGAGGTACTTAAAATAATCCCATTAATTTATTTTCATTTAAGTCCATTTCCATGTCTATCATTATTCTAGATTAATACTATAAAGTTTGATAATCTTGTTACAAACTTTTTGCCACATTTTAAATGTAACGAACTGTCAAACGTAGCAAAGTATTTTATCGTTATATTAGTATTAATAAGTAACTTAAAATAATCCCATTATTTTTTTTATTTTCATTCCTACCATTTCTGTGTTAATCATTATTCTATGTTAATTCCACAATTCTTAAAAATCTTGTGACAAACATTTTTCAACATTTTAAACGAAACGAGTTTGCAAATGCAACACAGCATTTTATTGCTTAATTTATTTATCTTTTTTACTATTTCAGGATGGTTTTGGGTTGATCCAAATCTTGGAATGATAGACGATGCCATCCATGTGTTTTGCAACATGACCGCCAGAGGGCAGACGTGTGTCTATCCTGACAAACACTCAGCCATTGTGAGTATATAGTTGCTATTAAATAAAAGCTTGCAAAAGTTGCGCTTAAATTTAAATACTCCGAGAAACTTTTGATCTCATGATTAGATTTTCACGTAATCAATCTTAAAGGTTCAAAGTGCTTGCCCTTAAATATGCTAATTGCGGGCCGGGATAGCCTGGTCGGTAGGGCGCTGGGCCCATATCCAAAAGGTCGTGGGTTCGATCCTCGCCGGCCGAAGACTCCCCGTGTAGTAAATGGTGACTGATGCACGTTAAATCTGTCGAGTCTCAAAGTCCTCCATGTTCCCACAATTAACTAACTAACTAGTCAGACTCAAACACATATTTTCTCTGAGTAATGGATTGGTTCNCTCTGAGTAAACAAACTTTCGCTTTGTCGGATTTAGATGTTTGACACTCAAAATATTGCTGGTACGCAATCTCGAAGACGCTGCTTGGCGATAGCTTAGAAGATTTGGCATTGGATTAAACTCTTCTCAGTTTTTTGGATGAAACTAACCGAATATGCTAAATGTGAAAGAAAACCACGAAACTTTCCATGCTAAAAGAAAGATTTTAGAACGTAAGATAAATAAAGAGATATTTAACATCCACACTCTTTCTGGAACGAGCCAAGAACAGTATGTGAATAGTCAAGTCACCACCAGGACTCGAAACGACCCCAGGGATGACGTAAAATATCCCCAGTGATATACGGATCATAGGTTAGAGTCCCTTTACCGTCCTGCTGACTACGGGAGGTTTGCGTGGTTTTTCTCACCATGCAACACAAATGCAGTTTAGTTCTATTAAAAAGTCTCCCATGAAGGCAAATTTCTCCTTATACTTGATTCAGGAGTTCCCTCGTTTTCTGGATTGGGTTCAAATTTACGAGGCTGCGGCGCTGAATATTAGTAGTCGTATTCCCAAAAATAGGATCGGCCATTCAACGATAGTAATAAAATAAAATAAAATGCAAATTATAAGAGCCGTGGTGGTTCAGGGGATAGAGCGTTCGCCTTCCATTCATGTGAATCTGGTTCGAATCCCAGCGATGGCTCTTGTCTTCTGGATTAAGTTCAGAAATACAAGGCTATTGAATTGAATATTGATACTGGGAGTTGGACACTGATACTGTTCAATGACGTTTATAGAATAAAACATATCAATGTAATTTCTATATAAATAATTTTATTTTATTTTATAACCGTCGTTGAACAGCAGACCCAATTTCGTGGGTTTACGACTACTTACGTTCAACTCCGTAGCCTTGTAATTTTGAACCAATCCAGAAGACAAGGAAACTCCTGGATCAGTACCCCCAGAGGTATTGATTTGTTGTTTGAACATGGAGGACTTTGAGACTCGACAGATTTAACGAGCGTCAGTCACCATTTACTACACGGGGAGTCTTCGGCCGGCGAGGATCGAANCGATGGCTCTTGTCTTCTGGATTAAGTTCAGAAATACAAGGCTATTGAATTGAATATTGATACTGGGAGTTGGACCCTGATACTGTTCAATGACGGTTATAGAATGAAGCATATCAATGTAATTTCTATATAAATAATTTGAGTATTTTAATGTATTAGTTAAATGCAGCACTTTATTGACACTGGAATAGTTGACAACACTAATGAAATATCAAATTAATTCTAGCACAAGTGCGTTTCTGCTTTTTCATGTAGTGACATCATTATAAAATGTTGCATTTTTGCACAAGTGTTCTCAAAAGAGCCCGGAGATAAGTGTTCTATAAATTCATTATTACTCATTATGTTAATTTTTTTTAGCAAACGGAAGTTCATTGGGAGAAAGAAGAGGATGCTTCGAATGAAAAATGGTTCAGTTCCCTCCGTGGTGGATTTAAGGTAATAATGATGTTCATAATTCTATCCTTGTGGTCAAAACTGCTCATGATAATTGTAGATGTAGACACCCAAAAAGTTGTGAATGAATTAGCAGCCGTATTCGAACAAAGTGATTTGGTTTAAGTTTGATCCCGCTAGAATCGGCAACTATTCTGAGAATCCAAATTAGTTTTAATACAATAAAGCATTTCCGAAAGTTTTATTTGAATTCCTTTAAATTTAGATGTATCAATTTATGTATCTTCAAAAAAATACCGTTGAGTTAAATTTCATCTCAGTAGAATCGGGAACTAAATCTGCGCAGCCAAATCGTTGGCTGCACTAGATCAAACTAGATCGTTCTCAATACCAATTCAGGTGAATATCACAAATAAAGAGGTTTCAAACTGATTGACACAGTCCCAAAAGTTAGAGTTGAAGCAAGAAAAAAGCGATGCCAAGATCTAAACTTACCGAGGCTGAAAAAGCCAAAGAACTTAGACGGGAATACATTAAGCGTGACACACAAACGGAAAAACGAAAGGATTCCGTTTGCAAACGCAAGCATGAAGCCTGTGCTTCACAACAGTACCAAAGTGGTTGAGAGAATTGAACCCTACCGAAGAGCAAATGGTGACTCTCCGAACCCCTTTCACTCAAATACGAGAACTGGGTGTTGATCACCAGTTAGGGATAAAAGGATCTATTGTCAACGTACCCAATATCTTGCACAAGACCGTAGACTCAGAGACGCCAACAGCCTCCACACGGTTTTTATAGGTAGTCCGATCAGACCACTATGATGGTAAACCAGTTTACAAAAGAGCCCTTTAATAGAAAATCTAGTAGAAATAAGAAAGTGGTAGCAAATTTGTGTCTAAAAATTTGTTTAATTTATGAATATGATTGATTTGTCTTATTTACTTGTGTACCACTACAGATTCCATTCTCAAATATACAGTGGAACCTGTCTAAATTGACCACCCTCGGGACCAAGTCAAATGGTTGCTATATAGAAGTGGTCACTTTATGAAGTCTATTTAAAAAGGACTCTTTAAGTAAAACTTATAGAAAATGGTCACCTTACTCAGGTGATCACTTTACCCAGGTGGTCACTTTTACAGGTTCCACTGCATATGACAAATTTCTCTCAGCCACTTTCAAACTACAATTTGGGTTCATGGGCACAACCGGCTCACTTTTTTAAATAGTCTGCGCAGACTACTACTTATAAAAAACCGTGTGGAGGCTTTTTGATATAGGAGGTGTTGCAACAGCTTCGGACTCGCCAAAATAATTAAAAAACGGTAAATAACTACGAAGTAAATTTTGCAAATATTTGACTATTTTTCCTTGCTTTTTAGAAGGTATAGCATGACTAAAGTATCGTCAAATGATGAATAATATAAGCCAACGAATTATTTAGAAATAGTGGTGGATAAAAATCTACTAAATTGAATTTTTTAAACCAAGAATCACAATTGATAAACTACCACTTTAAAATATATATTTGCTGTCCGGAGCAAGTTGGCATCTCTGACAGATTCAGATTTTAAATGCCTCACCACGAAAGAGCTGAAGAGGACCTTTGCTCTTCGCTTTTATCCTCTTTGCTGCACAGGTGAGATTTAGTTGAGATGATGACTCGTTCGTTCCTTGTAGTGGAACTGGGTGTCTGAAGCCTTACGGCCCTTTTCCCATTCATCCTGAAATTAAACTAAGAAACATACATGACAAAATTAAAGTTTGCGGAGCTAATGGAGCTCTTGAGAAAAGAAATATGGCACTTTGCCATTATTAGACAATAACAAAATTTCAAGTAATAAAAAATGTACATGAAAAAAGGTAAAATTAAAGTACAATGGGAAAAATAAACAGTGTTTATTTTTCCTGCCAGTTTCCAGTGTTTATTCATACCTGCCAACTCTTCCGGATTTTCCGGAAGATTTTATTTTCATATTTAAAGGGGTAGTAATTATATACTACTTTTTTCTTTTATAATCTTAATTTTTAAATGATATTGATCACCACTATTCTTACAAAAATTAAGCACAGATATTAATTTGCGTTACTATCATGGTTGACAACTTAAGTTTTCTCAAATACAACGTATTTGTTTGCTTAAAATTGAAGTTTTAATTCCATTTTAATACCACTGGGAAAAATGATAATGGAAGGGATTAAAAGTTGGCAGGTATGAAACACTAATGAATATTTACAGTTTGGAAATACATACAAAAGGGGGGCGTGTTAAAGGAATGTGAGGATATGTGTAAGTAAATGTGGACTTAAGTTTAGACTCTCCCCTGATCAGACCCCGAGGGGTTTTGAGATGATGGCTCACAAGAGCTGGAACATATGACCTTTCAAATTCTTTATAAGTAGTGGTGTGGAAATTAAGTTTAAATCAATAAAAAAAACATAAACATAGCTACCACTAGAGTAAATTTTTACAAAAAGCATTGATAGTTTGCAGCCCTGTAAATTGCACGCCTACCAACTGTTTAGTCCTTCAAAGAAGCTTTTAATGAGAGGCAGTTAAATCAAAGGCATTGTCAACCCAAATGGGTCGCAGCCGTGGGGACGATGTATTGGTAACTTTAGTGTGATTATCAACCCAGAAACGAGTGGTATTACCAGGATGCCTGGCTTCTTTATTAGAACAGAGTGACAGACAAGGTAGTTGCCGAACCGCCTATCGTTTAAATAACATTTTCTTTGTCGTTGAAAGTTTTTTTTCTATCTCGAGTGAATATATAAATAGTTGCATATATTTTCTATTTTATTACATCTGCGTAAGTGAAAATATTATTCTGACCCCTGTAAATAATATATTCTAATCTAGTTATGTCCTCTCCTATCTATTTCATCGTGTGTTCAACCGACTGGTTTCCCACTTATGACTTCACTATTTGGTGCTTGGCCTTCCTCTCTCCCCGACGAATCAGTTAAGGCCGCTGCAGCCCACTGAGATTTGCTAATGTAAGGCTTTGTAAGCAGACTTAATAAGTGCCACCAACTACAAATTGATCGTAGTATTTCATTTTTAAAAAGTGGTGATAAATCATATCTTTTTTTATTCTTGGATTTATAAATGTAATTTGACTATCACTAAATGCAAATAAATTCATGTTGCATATGAAAGCCAGTTACATAAACGAAAATGACTGTAAGCCATAGCGATTGTGAAAATTCAACGTTATCTACAATTGAATTTCAATCCACCCTTAACACCATCACTTACTGAAGGGTTGGCAGAGGTCTGAGATTTTTTACTTATATTTAGCTCNATCAACCTTTCTGAAAATAACGTTTCCTCATGCTGATACAATTCTGAACAACTCCAAAATCAAACAAACACAGTTTAAAGCAAGCTGCTCATTTAATTTTTTTGATTCCTTTTAGTTATTCAAGCAAAGTGCTTGAAACATTCATAAAAGCAACTCCACTGCCTGCTTACCTCAATGCTCAACCAAAACAGTGTTAAAATTCCAGATGAATGACATAGGGGTCGCTTCGCGGCACAGGTGCCCAATAAAATCAAAACACTAGGACTAGTAGTTATGTCATGCTTTACTTTTTTAAAAGCAAACAAAAGTAGTCTATGTGCAAAATTTACTTGTAGTTATTTACAGTTTTTTTTAAAATTATTTTGGCGTGTCTGGAGTAGTTGGCATCTCTGAATATAGCCCTTTTCCATGGAACAAAAGCGCAGTATATCAAAATTGTTTTTTTTTCCAAAAAATCTATCCGTTTAGGGATTAATACAATAAAACACGTTGGTATCTTTCGAGTGAAAATTTTTTAATTTAAATATCTTTTTCCTAACGTTGAGGAATCGGTTGTATCAGTCATCTTCCTTCTAGCAGCCCTGTGCAACGTAGTTTTCGTGTGGAGGTTGTGCATAGTCAAATAATTAGTAACGTTGGAGAGGGCATCTTGTTTCGGTTGCGTTGATGAACGCTGTAACTCATCTAGCACTACCATACCTGCCAATTTGTACAGTTGTGGAGAAAGAGTTTAAACAGTGTAAACCTTATAATACTTTAGGTATTAAGAATATTCTAAAAGTTAAACTATTTTACCAACACGAGTAACAATAATTGATTTTTTTATATATCTTATATAAAAAGGTTTGAACTATCGATTTGTAGTGGTAGGTAAGACAATTTTAGATATAATTTTTAAAATTTAGATTTTTATGTTCAAATATAAATATTACTACCACTACGAAAATAATTTCTAAATGTTGTACAAGTTGTCACCTATGCACTACCCAGGGATATCACTCAAAACAAAACGAACGCTATATCTCCAATGCATTCGACCGATCACCAGCTACGCAGCCCCTGCATGGAGCACAACCACTGTTACTCAAAGAAAAGAAACTGGAGATATCACAGGAGCCCCCAGATCTATGAGAATGAATGATCTAAGACGAGAGTTAAAAATCAACAAAATAGAAGAGCACATAGCTGAACTATGTGCAAGTTTCTTCAGAGATCCACTCTCTTGTCATACGTGCAATTACTTTAAAAATTTTGATTTTGAGCTCATCAAAGACAACATAAAATATAGCCCGGCAACCGCCTTTTTCCTGTCCGACGGAGTTTTGTCCCGTAAATTTTGTAAATAGCTGTAAATACTTGTAAACAATTTTGCGCATTTATTATGTATTTCTCCTTTTCTCTAAGGCTATGTGGCTGCTGTGCACCTGAGAAGCTCGGAGGTAATACCTCGAAGGGAGGCGAGGCAGTCTGCCACAAAACCTCTTCTCTCTCTTAAACTTGTTTGTTCAATCACACTACTTGATTTTAACTTTCTCTCAGTAAAAGATACTGAACCCCAACTTTCACCTTTCAGTTGTGCTTCTGCGATTTATTATTTATTTCCACTCAGATGAATTAGTTGGAGCCCCTAGCGGGGCTGATGCTAAGATAACCATCACATATGAGTATGAGTATGACTACCCAGGGATGCATACTATCAAAATACAATTAACTTTATCATACAACTCTACTCAAGGGGATCTCTCCATTCCAAACATGATTTTCCCTTCAAAACTAAAGATGAGCTTAGCTTAAAGATGAGCAAGATAAAGGGCTTGATTTGTTGTTACAACATACTACAACTTCATCGATATTTAGGACCTCCTAGAATACGACAAAACAGATTCAATGAATCGGTTAGTGGCGCTTCGCGCCAAA